GCGCCCGGCGCCACTGCCACCTCAGCCTCCGCCGGGGGCCGGCGGTGACTCAATGAGGCCTTTGTGGGCCCTGGGCCGCAGAGCCAACCATGCTGTGTGCCTGGGCTGCCTGCCCCATCTGCTGCCCTCAGAGGGGCCTTGTTCCAGGACCACACGGCCTCCCCTCCGGAGGCGGCAGGAGGCGGCGGAGATCCGAGAAGCCCCTGAAACGGACCCCCTGGCTGGGAGAAACCTTTGAGTTTTCCTACCCTTCCCTTCCTTCTCTATAGGCCCAGAGACGTTGGGTGGCTGTCTCCAAGGTGTCCAGAACACCAGCGAGTGACTCAGGCCCAGGGGTCTAGAGGGGAGCTGCACAGTCCTTAGGAACTTGAGAATTCAACGTGGATTGCTTGAGGTCAGATCCACATCTGTGGCAATCCAACTCAATTGTCTCATTTGCACAATGGGGCTCATACCAGCACCTGGAGCCTAAGACTGAAATGAGGTGAAATCCTCTATTGAGGTGCTTGGGAACAATCTAATACCTAGTGAGATTATTACATGGATACTTCCCATTCTCTGCTCAGACTTGTCTTTTGGCCACCTCCAAACTGTCTGGAAACCACTGTTATTTTCAGCCTTTGAACCTGAAGCTTGGGCAGGAGAGAGCCCTGGGTTGGGAGCTGGAGGCCTGAGTCCCAGACTGGTGGTCATCCCCTCCCACCTGTTTCTCCACCCAGTGACCCCACACCAGGCAGGTGGATAAGGGCTGTGCCCACACCTCACCTGGTCCACTGGGGATTCTCCTGCAGGCCAGGGCTGCTTGCTGTCTCCAGCAAACTTGCTCTGGGCCCCATCCCTTCCCACTCCAGCCTCAGAGGCCCTGGCCCTTGTGCTGTGACTGGCCTCAATGTGGGGAGGGGTGGCTTCTACCATCAGTATCCTTCTGGCCTTGCATAGTCATTTTGGGAAGAACCCTGGGAATGAGCAGAATAGGAATGATGGGGCCTTGATCTCCAGGGTGACCTAGAGTCCACATGCTCTCCAGCTGAAGCCATAAAGACCTGGCTCCTGCCAGCCTGGGAATAAAATCTAAATTCTTCCCTGGGATCCATGAGGCCCTGCCCATTTCTCTAGCTTTGCAGATACTGGTCCCCTTGCTGAACCAGGTCAGCTTTTTGGTATCCCGCCTTGTCTCGCTGGGATAGGTGGATGATACATGGAGCACCTGTCAAACTGCCTCACCGCCCCCAAGTGTTGGGAGGAATGTGAAGCAAACTGAATGGGGGGGTTAGGGGATAATGAAGGAGGGCTCGTGGGCCCCCTCTGCTGGCTAGAGGCAGGCCTGGAGTGCAGAGGTAGCCAGCCACTAGGTGGGCATCCACAAGGATGGAAGGACCTGGAGGTCAGGGCCTCTCCCAGAGGTTGTCAGTTCACAGTCCCCAGGAAGGGGCTTCCAGGAAGTTTCTGAGTGGGAGGGTGAGAGCTACTAAAGGCAATGAAAGATGCCGGGTGCACAGAACCCCTCCAGGGGCACAATGGCCTGCCTGAACAATGGGATGACTTTTATTAAGTGGGCTCCACACTGGGCATGGAGTTCAAGCCCCAGCCACGGGGCTTAAACTCACAACCCTGAGATCAAGAGTCGGACACTTAACCGACTGAGCCACCCAGGCACCCCTGGGATGAATTTTTAATGTAAGGCAAAGTCAGTCCACAATACAAAAATCTAAAAATCAGATCCACTTTTCCCGCCTGGCATCTGGGAGGGTGAGGGAAGTTGGGGCTTCTTTTGCCTGCAGGGGATGGGAAGGGGCAGAAGAAGGCCAGAGAAGGAGGACGAAGGAACCACGCCATGGGAGGCCCCGCTGGAGGGATCCTGTTGCCCCCGCCCCTCTCCTGAAGCTGCCCGGCCTCCCGCACCCTTGGCCTCCGATGCCCTCTGATGCCCTCTGCCCGCGCAGGCCTGTGCTGGCCTGCCCCCGCCTGCCTGGCCTGGCCCTCAGAGGGTCAGGCCCCAGCTGTATCATTTCTCCTTCTTCTCCAGCCCCTTCGATGCCGAGGCCTCTGTTCCCTCTTTGGATCCCTCTGTCACTGCTGCTGCATCCTTAGGATTTGACTCCTCATAACTGACCAAAAAAACAAAACAATAAAAACAACACCTTTAGAGGAGCGGGAGAGCAGAACTTCCAGGCCCTGCCTCCCCGCCATCCCAGGAAAATCCCTGGGCACACGAGGAACACCAGCCTGGCATTCACGGCCCAGCATCTTCCCGGACTTGGCCCCGGCCCCACTGTATGCCGTTTTCAGACAGGTTGCTCTCCTTTCTCTGTGCCTGGTGGTGCCAAGAGGTGGTAAAGGGCAGCGGCAGAGGGAGGAGAGGTTGGGCTTGGGTGGATTAACTTTAAGCTTCTTGGACCTTCCACTGGAGGGAGCGGGAAAAAAATGCGGCAGCCAGGTCGAGGCTACGGGAGAGGGGCTGCTTCCCAGGGCGCATGGCAGGAGTCAAACAACTGAGCCCCAAGGGTGCAGGCAGGCAGGGGGTTGCTCTACCCGCAGGTGGCACAGTGCCCATCTTGAAGGCTGCCACCCTGGCTTGGCTCTTGCTATGGGCCCCGTTTATTGAGCAACCGAGTTCCCACCAAGGACGGCACCCATCTCTTCCCCAGGTCAGCCCCAGGAGGCAGGAATGTGCCCACTTAGACGAACAGAGAGAGGCTCCGGAAGAGGAAAGTGATCTGTCCAGGGTTTTATATAGAGGCCAGCAGTAAGAGTATCTACTCCCGGATGACAAGGGCTGTTGCTATCTGCTCTGTCACGTGAACCCCACACCACTGGTGAGGGCTACGAGGTTCTAGAGCCCTGCTCCCGGCCCTGAGGAGGGGTGCAGTGACTGCCTGGTGACCATGGAGGAGGCACCATTTGCTGCCTGCCCCTAGCAACGCTCCCTGCCCCGTCCACTGGAGCTGGGGTGTCTGCCCTACCTTGGGCCCCGGGGCAGTGGGGGGGAAGCGGGCAGGTGGGCACCCGCCAGGCATTACATGGCGCTGGGATTCTGCGGGCGCCGGCGGCGAGGGCCAGCTAGCTTCTGTTGCATGGAGTCGGCCAGGCTGGCTGGGGAGCCCGAGACTGTGGGGAAGTGGGTGAGCCTCGGGGTGTGAGGCAGGATTTCCGCCGAGGACTCGTAGCTGTGTGAGAGACAGAGAGATAGAAAAAAAAAAAGAGATGGAGAGGAAAAGACTGGGGGGTGGGGGGAGCGGGGACAGAGACTTCTCTTTCAAGGAGCAGGGCGCAGAGCTGTGTCTTATTTTTATCTTCCTCTGCATTTTCAAACACAGTGGCAAAGAAGCCTGACTTACTGGTGGATAAAAAAGACGCACCTGTACAAAGGGACAAGGATGTTCTAACGAACAGGTGCTGCTGCAGAAACCTCTGACTGTGTGACAAATCCAGATGCAGAATGTTCTGAGAGCCTCCGTCTGTGCGGAACACGCACGCGCACACGTGCTGTTGGGAGCAACGCTGTGCCTGAATGTCTGTGTGACCGAGCTCCGGGGTGGCTCGGGCCTGAGGGGGTTTTCCCTCTCCCGGCTATGAAATTTTGAGCCATGTGAGTATGTGAGCCAAGGGAAAAAACAAAAAAAGGAGAGCACCTCTCAAGGGAAAAGTAAAACAAAAGGCAAGGTGGAGAATTAGGGAGAGAGATGAAGAAAGAGAGAGACCACCCTGCTTTTTCATCTCAACCCAAGAACCTCCTGGGGGCAGGGCCAGAAAGGGGCGCAGAGTGCCCAAGGGTAGAACATTCAGGGAAAGCAAGCACTGGGCGGGTGCCCTGGCTCTGGAGATGCAGGGCTTGACCCAATGTGGACACAACAGGACTGGGACTGATGGGGGGATGGCTACCCCAAGGCGGGGGGTGGCTGAGAATGGGTGAGCCAGAGGGTGAGCGTAGGTGCTGAGCTCAGGGATCAGATACCACCCCTGTCCCCAGATCTGCCCCCAAGTTCATCCCCCAGCCTGGCCACAGAGTCCACAGGGCTTTGCCAGCCAGGAGATATGGGCAGGCAGCTTGGGAGCCTGGGGCTTCTAGGCAAGACGGGGAGGGCAGAGGCAGGGACGGGGGAGGGGTGAGTCACAGGTTCCCCTGCAGGCAGCCAGGTGCACAGATGGCCCTGGCAGGCACTCGAGGGCCAACCTGGAGGCCAGGCAGGGGGAGCGGGATGGAAGGCCCCTGAGTGGGCAGCTTCAATCGCAGCTGGAAGCTATTTCTGGGTCCCTGGCGGGCGGGGTCAGTGGTGCCGGGGAGCAGACACCTGTCGGAGTCACGCAGGCCTTGGGGTACGGGTGGGGCTGTGCACGGGGAGTGGCAGCTGGGCATATGGCCATGGGGAAGGGGTATGAGTGCAAGTGAGACACTCGCCGAGACAGAGCTATGGGTTAGAGCCATCGAGGCGGCTCAACAGGGACTGACCCTCGATTTCCAATCTGGAGCACCTCCCACCGCACGAGGATCCTCCCTATTACTCACATGGGAAAGCTGTGGCTGGGAAAGGGAAAGACTTGCCTGAAGTCACACGGCGGCACAGTCAGGCTGGGAACCCAGGGCTGCTGACAGTGGGGCAGCCTGGGGTGGGAGGGAACTACACCGGCCAGTCCCTTCCAAAGACCCAGCAGGCATCTGGATGTGGGGGCTGCTCTCCCCTGGCTCCCAACCCCCCAGAAAGGTTCCTGCTGGTGCCACAGGCCAGGCACCAACGTGCTGGCAAAAAGGACAAGGGGTGGGGCTGGTGGCGGGAATAATGTTCCCCCGGAGACCTGTACAAGCAGCCCCGGCAGGCTCCGCGAGCTGCCCGCAGGTGCACCTGTGCCATGCAGATGTCTGCCCCCTGCGCTGCCTTACCTGAACATCTCTGTCACTTCCCCCTTGGCCAGTGCCACCAGGACAGGAAAGCCGATGCAGGCGGGGACCAGGTACAGAAGGGCAGGCTGTGAGAGAACAGAGCTGGTGACCAACTGCTGGGCAGCGCACCTGCTCGGGGCCATGCCCATCACTCCAACCCTCTCCAGGGTGTGACTGAAGGACAATGACTGCCCAGGTTCCCAGAGCAAGTCAGTGGGTGCCTAGGCCCACACCTGGGGCTCCTGACTCCCTGAGCAGGGCTGCTCCTCCCTGGGAGGGAATGCAAGGAACCCAAACAAAGTCAAGCATGCAGGGCTTTAAGGGTACCCCAGAGTCTGGCTGGCAGTATCCTAATCACCTGGGACATCAGGTTCAAACAAGCAACCTCCTGGGTCAGTCCTATTCCCAGAGATTCTGCTTCCCTAGTCTGGGGGTGGAAGTTTGCATCTTTAACGAACGCTCCAGGAGATGCTGTTGGATGCCGTTACAATAAGACGACCTAGGCAGTCTGGCTCTAGAGCCTGAGCGGAGCCTCCTGGTGAAGCTGGGTTTGGAGGACAAGATGGCGCACCTGCTGCGTCCACTACCCTGAGCTCAGCCTCCTGAGGAGCACTTCCGTCCATCTCTATATCCCCGTGACCATCCTCCTTGTTCACACGAGGAAGGCTGCTGCTTTGGGAGGACAGGGAACAGCGCAGGCCTCAGGTATCTAAACGGTCAACTGGGGACTGGATCTCAGGCATATCGGACTCTAAAGCTATTCCTTTCCCTGCAGCATCTGAAAGCTGGACATTACTGTTTGACCCTCCATGACCCCCAATGCTCCCAGTGGCCTCAAGTCCCCATGAGATGTAACCCTGCTTCCTTCTTGCCCTACTCTGGCCACAATGACCTTGTTCTGGTCCTCCTTGTCACATCTAGCCACAGGACCTCTGCACATGCAGTTTCTGCTGCTTGTCATGCTCTTCCCATCTCTGCCTAGACTCCTCCTCCTTCGGGCCTCTGCTCTGCTCTTAACTTCTGTAGGGAAGCCTTCCCTGGCAGGGAGCCAGGCCCTCTTGTTGCCTACTCTCAGGGCCCCCTGCCATCCCCTGCAGCATTTGCCGGCAATCTGGAGCGGGACATTGCTCTGCCATTATGGTCTTCAGTCTCTCTGCTGCTAGGCTGTGAACTTCATGAGGGCAGGGTCCACGGCTGTCTTGGTCACTGCTCTATTCCTGGCATTCCAAAGAGGGCGTGGTAAATACTAAGCAAATGGCTTCTCCATGGGTGCTCACAAAGTTAAGAGGGTGTCTGGGAGATGACTGGAGTAAGGGTGAGGAGACCTCACTCCTAAGGCGAGTGAAGTCAGAGAACAGGGCTCCAGAGTTCACCAAGCCTGACCTTCCAACCATTTCTTGGCACCTGCCATGTGTGGCCTGTGAACCATACCACTTCATACATACTACCCTTGAAGCTAAAAACACAATCTGAGTTCTACAGATGATGCTACTGAGGTTTAGATAGGGGGAAAGGCGTCGCCCAAGGTCACACGAGGTGCGTAAAAGTGGCTGAGCTTCTCGCACTGTATCAGGTATTTGCTGTGAGTTAGGCTTTGGGTAAGTCAGGCTTTAGGTCTTTTGGAGGGCGACAGAAATGACAATGACAAAAGTCTACACCAAACATGTGAGAGGCAGTCAAAGGAGTACTCAGAGGGAAATTTATAACATAACTCTAGGTGCATTTATTAGAAAAAGACTTGAAATAATCTCAGCTTTCAAGTTAAGAAGCCAGAAAAAGAATGACACCAGAAAGTAGAAAGAAAATAATGACGGCAAAAGCAGAGATTGATGAAACAGAACAGAAATGAAACAACTATAAACTTGTTAGAATTGAATTTCTCAAAAGGCCTCCTCATACCCGCTTTACAGATGAAGAGACTGAGGATCAGAAGAGGCAAAGGACTGTCCTCCTCCACACAGCTGGCCAGGATGTGGGTCTTGGTGCATCCGTCTCTAAGTCTTCATCAAGACCAGACCAGGCAAAGTAGAGGGCTTCCCGAGGCGGGTGGGGGGGAAGGATGGTACACGTTTAGCTCCCCCAAGGCCTGCCTTGAAAGCCAGGAGCCACTGAAGGGCTGCTGTGGGAGGCAGCGAGGTTGCTATTATCAGAGAACTACAAGTTCTTTTCTTTCCTCTCAAGGCACCAGGGGACCTCTCCAAAGTCAGTGCTGTGGAGAGGCTGGGACGTACAGCTTGGGACAGCAAGCTGGGCGTCAGGGTTCCTGGCTTTCCACCCAGCCTCGGCTTGGCTGTGTGACCCCGACTAAACTGCTTCCCCCTCTCTGTACAATGAGGATACCGATCATCTTGAAGGGCCTTTCTAGAAGACTGCCAGACCCCTGGCTTGGAGTGGGGTTTTTAAAAAAAGATTATTTATTTGAGAAAGAGAGAGAGAGAGAGTGAGAGAGCGCATGCGAGTACAAGTGCATGGAGAGGGGCAGGAGGAGAGGGAGAGAGAGTCTTAAGCAGACTCCGCGTTGAGTGCGGAACCCGATGTGGGGCTCGATCTCACGACCCTAAGGTCACGACCTGAGACAAAACCGAAAGTAGGACACTTAACTGACTGTGCCACCCAGGTGCCCCCGGAGTGGGTTTTTGATAGAGGCTCCATGAGTTGAAGATCACATAACCAGTGGTGACTTTCACCTATGGAATTGCTGGCACTGGGACTGCCTGTTCTTGGAAAGGAAGAGGGTCCTCAAGGAACAGGTTCCCCTTGTGTCCTGCATCCTCTTTCCAAGATTTCCAGGGAGACGCCCAAGTGGATGATGGGACAATGGCTGGGCTGCTGCTGGGGAGTAGCACAGGCTTGGGGCCAAGGGTCAGGAGTCCAGGGCTCCAGCTGGGGCCTACTTCGACTTGCTGCGTGACCCAGGAAGACTCCTTTTCTCTCTGGACTACAGTGTCCCCACACAGAGGACCACTTCCCCAGCCAGTGCGGGATCCTCGGAGTCTAGCCCAGGCAGAAGGCAAGGTTGCCACCTGGTGGCCTCTGGGGGAATGGCTCTCAGATTGGAACATAACAGGGCTGGGAGCAGAGACTTCCCAGAGGCCTCTACGCTAGTCCCCCAAGCCAGGTCCATCACTCTCGGTGACCTCCTTGTCAAGTGTCACTCTTGGCCGACACAGCTCCCAAGGCCATCTGGAGTAGAAATGAATGAGAAGCGGTTCCTCACCGGTTCTTGGTTTTTTCACCTATAGGCTAGGGGACCGCGGACCTTGGACGTTCTGTAGAATGAGAATACTACTATCTACTTCATTAAGTATCATAGATACTGTAGGGACTAAGTGAGTTAATGAGCAAAAGAGTTTAGTGTGCCCTGGGGAGGCCAGGTGGAGTGGAGGATGGAGGGGACAGTGACAACAATGACAGCTAATACCACCTGGGCCAGGCAAAATTCTGAGCACTCTCCTTATACTAACTCATTTCATTCTCAAAAAGCTCCAAGCTGGCTACTATTAACTTACCCCAATTTTTTTTTTTTAATTAATCACTGAGGGAAATGAAGCATAACTTCAAAAATCTGCCCAGAGCCCTGCAGTGAACAGATGGAGGAGCGTGGACTTCCTCCCACCTGCGTCCCCTCAGCCTTCATTCCACCCAGCCTTTCCCACTGCCAGGGGTTCAGAGCCTGGGCTTGGATGCCACGTGACACAGGTTTGGATCCTGGCTCTACCACCCACTGGCCGTGCGGCACCTGACCTCCAGTCCCCTCATCTGCTCACGAGGACCTGCATGAAGAACTCAGCAGAGCCTGGCACACGGGAAGTGCTCTGACTTCCAGTAGAGAGTAATCCTGTCTGCTGGCTGTCCCCTCCTGGTCTTACCCTTACCTTGCCACAGTGACAACTCTCAGCCTTCATCCCACCCTGATTTGCTCTGTGGCAGCTCAGTACCCACCTTGGTGGGAGGAGGAGGCAGAGGCTGGCCCGCTTGGGGAGTCAGAGGAGAGGGCCCCTGACACCTTATCGCTCATCTGGTAAGGTGGGCACTGGGCTGAAACACCCCACGCCCACCCCAATACTGTTCTTTCTGCCCCACTACAGAGGCTCAGAAGCCACAGCCCTTCTTTCCTAGGCTCCCTGCAGTGGGGGCCACGTGCCATTGATCTGGCCCCTGAGATGTGAGCAGCAATCCGCCAAAAGGGTTGTGGGAAAGGTCTTGCCTTCCTGACGAAGGCAACAAGCACGGACTGTGCTACTTGGAGCAGCTGGTGGCATTTTGTGACAGCCGTAGGCGAAAGGCCAAGGGTCACAGACATGCCCACTCCAACACTGCTGGGGAGCACCTACCTCTGGATTGCTTGGGTATGCGACAAATAAGCCCTATGTATAGAAGTCCCCGCTACCCGCAGTGGGAGCACTCCCCATACACGGAGTACAGTCCCACTCACCTGGGCATGCTTGAAGATGTGCATGATGAAGATGGTGAGGCCCAGGCCGAAGATGTAGGCTGCGAAGCTGGTGTAGAAGTAGGTGTGGGTGTTCTTCTTTAAGCTTCAGGAAGGTGTGGGGAGAAAGAGGAGGGGGGTTAGTTGCAGGCATGGGAGCAGCACCATCTCTTCTGAGGGGGGAGCTGGGGAAGACCCGGGAGGCTGTGTGGGATGGCTGAGAGGCTGGCACTGGGCGTGCATTCTGGTACTGTCCCAGCTATAGGTCTTTGGACAATTCACTTTCCTTCCTTAGGCCTCAGTTTACTCATCTGCAAAATGGGAAAACCACGATCCATCTGCTCAGTGGTTGTGAATATCAAGTGCCATAACCAGAACAGTGGCTTTAAGACTTCAGCCAGCATACAAATCACCTAGAAAACTTGCAAAAAACCCCCCAAAACAAAAAATAAGACTTCCAGGTCCAATTCCCGGGGAGTCTGATTGACTAGGTCTGGGGCGAAGTCCAGGCATCTGCATTTTGAGGAACCACCCACGTGAATCTGATGTGGGTGAGTCATGCTTTGGGTGACACTGATGCAGAAGCTGCAAAGCTGACTTACTCCTCTTCAGTGCAGTGGATGTGACAGTTCTGTGACCTGCTGACTACGTGGATAAAGTGCCAGTGGCTTCCTGGAGGCGAGCCATCCGAGAGCAGCCTCAGGACTGAATCACACTGCCGTGACAGGACTTCCCTTTGCGACCTCAGCTCCATGACCTCTGCGTGTCCCCAGCACCCGGAACAGTGCCCAGCGCCATCTGTGGACCGAAGGAGTACTCGCGACCCCCCCTCCCCCTGCTGCGCCTGCTGCTGAGCTGGGAGCTGCGAGTGCACTGGGGGCCCTGCTGCTGCGGGCTGGGGGTGAAGCTGACCGCTGTGGGCATGCTGCACGGATTCTGGAACCAGCTCTGAAAGGCGGGCCGATCCTGCCCACCTGCTTCTGAGGGTGCCGGCAGCCAAACGTGAATCTGTGTCGCTAGCAAGTGGTTCAGGGACGCTCATAGGGTTCTCTTTGTGTCAGCTCTGAACAGCCAGGACTACAGCCGGCTGGCACAGACCTGCCTCTACTTACAGACTGGCCAGGTCCCTCCCAAAGGCTGTCTGGAAGCCCGTGGAAGTGAGGTCTGAGTGGCACTATACAAATACCCCACATGTGCGTGAACAGGGGCAAGTCTCACAGGCAAACTTGAGTTCACGGACACTGGTACAGTTTCTTGTTACCACTGTCAACACTATTACTGCTTTTCCGATTATTGGGCACAAGGAGATTAAGAAAAGTTCACAAAGGGGCTCCTGGGTGGCTCAGTTGGTTGGGCGACTGCCTTCGGCTCAGGTCATGATCCTGGAGTCCCGGGATCGAGTCCCGCATTGGGCTCCCTGCTCAGCAGGGAGTCTGCTTCTCCCTCTGACCCTACCCCCTCTCATGTACTCTCTCTCTCTCAAATGAATAAATAAATAAATAAAATCTTTAAAAAAAAAAAAAGTTCACAAACCACCTTGAAATGCAGTGCACTTACTGCAAACCTTCCACTGGGAAGACAGCGCCACCTTCTGGTGGCACGCTCAGCTGCACTAACAGTGTAACCTTTTCTGTTGCAAGTGGTGACTCGAGCTGGCCCCCTTCCCTCCCTGTGCTCACGTTCCACAGTGGACTGCACAAATCTGAGTGAGGGGAGCGCGGGGAGCAGCCAGAGCAGCTGGGACACAGTGACCTGAGCCTGGGCTGATAATGCACGATGACGACTGGACTGCAGCTGGGTCTCCCTGTGGCCCTGTGCTCAGCGCTCCCTCCAGGTTTTCTTGGTAATGCCGAGGTCGGAGCTCTTGTTTACCACAAAGTGAAGAACGAAAAACCTTAGCCCAGAAAGGTCAGATCACTTGCCAAGGTCACACAGTGAGAAAGCACTATGAGTACCACTAGGACCTTCTGGGTTTAAATCTCTTGGGAGTGTGATCCCTTTTTCCTTTTGGCCACAGGGTCTTTGAACACTCAGAACTTCAAAGTGCAGATATATCAGAATTGCACTGGCTGCTGCAGAGGTGGAGGGTCTGATCGCAGGTCACCTCCTCCGGGCTCCTGAAAGCCACCAAGGAACCCCTGGAGTACCCTGCCCAGGGAAGGCTCCTCACTCATGGAGCTTGAGGGCTAGAGTTTCCAAGTAGCTTACCTGATGTCAAACCGTAGCAGCAAGGCAATGAAGATCCCTGTGGGCAGAGAGCCAGGGTTAGACGGTGGCAGGGAAGCCAGCACCTCAGGAAGGCCTGGGGACGGAGTCCCCTGCCTGGGATGGGGAGGGGCGGGGTAGTGAACTAACATGCAACCTGGTGTTCCCAGTCATGGAACAATCACTGGAGGCCAACACTGCCAACTACCAGCAGAAATCCCGTCTCTCTAGCATCAGGCCTCCCAGAACAATGAGAAGCTCCCAGGAGTTTGCTTTGGTCTGGGACCACACTGACCTGGCACCTCATAGCACCATACTGTGTCACACTGGGCCCAGTGTGTCTAAGTACCAGGCACTGTAGACAACAGGGAGCAAAATCACTGCACCCACAGAGCTCAACCAAGGCAAAAGGAGGCAGACATGCTGATCAAACAGGAACAAAACTCAATATAAGATCCTAACTGTGAAAAGGTGCTTTCTGTGTCATGGGAAGGTATATCCCGGGATATGCCAGGCTAGGGGGAGTGGAGGGGAAGAGGAAGAAGGGCTTCTTTAGGAAGTGACACTTGCCAGGCAGAGGAAACAGCGCATGCAAAGGTCCTGAGGGAAGAGGGTCTTGGGTGTGGCATAGGTCAAGGAGCCGGGAAGGTTGCAGCCCAGAGCAGGAGATGAAGGGGATGGACCAGCCATGCAGGGCCGTGGGGCACAAGGAGGAACTGGGTCTCTACCCTAAGTAAGGGAACACAACCTAAACAGATTCTGAAAACTAGCCGTGTGGCAATTGCTTGGTTAGAGGGAGGCGTAGGACCAAGCAGACCATCAGGAGGCTCTGCGGGAGCGCAGTAGAGGATGATTAACTCTGTCCACCCACTGCACTCCTACTAGCACTTCAAATCCCAGCCCAGACACCCCAAAAGCCCAAGACTCCCCGAGACACAGCCAGGCCAGCAACTGCATGTTGCTCACACACCACAACCATCTGTGTCTATCTCCCTCACTGGTCTCTGGGCTCAGACAGGGCAAGGGCTGAATCTCATTTAGCTGATCAGAAGCACTGACTGGCAGCATAGGGCTAATTTTATCTTATTATTTATTTATTTATTTATTTATTTCTAAAGATTCCATCCTTAAGCAATCTGTACACCCAATGTGGAGCTTGAACCTACAACCCCGAGATCAAGAGTCGCATGCTCCACTGATGAGCCAGCCAGGCGCCTCAATATATGACTGATTTTAAATCGGGAAAGGAGTTAGTCCTCCCCAAAGACCTTGAGACTGTGTGGGAGTAGGGAGTGGGTGGGTGAGAGAGAAGACAAATGCCTTTCTGGAAACAAAGCTGGGAACTCACCATCCCCCTGGCGGCCAAATTCTACAACTGTTCTCCAACTCATCCAGGGCTCAGGGCTCTGCTAAGAGCTTTCACCGCTAATCATGCATCTGGTCCTCTAAACAAGGGTCCGCAGCAGCCTATTCTTTGAGGAATATCACTGGGGCGCTCTGAGGGCGCGATGGACTTTCAACTACTGAAATTGTTTGAAGACTTAGATACGTAGGTACATGCAGGGGTGTCCCATGCACGCCCCAAGCCCAGAACTATGAACGCCAAGGTTACCAGGGAAGTGTGGGGGGTGGGGGGAGCCTGGGGCAGCCCATGCCCTGCACAGTGAGCTGGTTGCTTGCTGGGACTCAATTTCTTCGGTCTGATGCAGCTGCGTCTCCCCGCCTCACAGCACTGCAAGTTATGGAAAGTCTCGGGTTCAAGGCCATACCCCCATGTGCCTGGGAACTGGAGCCTCAGTTACTCATCTGTAAAAGGGAAATACCCTTTACCTCACTGGGCTGCTAGGAGCAGCAAAGTGACAACGTGGGAGAAGCAGCCAGCACGGTGGCGGGCACCCAGCAGGCGCCTGACCCGTGGCAGCTGGGGTGATCACCATCCTCTTATTGTCATTATTGTTATGGCCCATTTCTGACAGGGAAGGCTTTTTCTGCAGACGGAAGACCTGGGCTGGAGCCTGGCCTTGGCCTTTACCAGTGCGTGAAGTTGTAAAAGTCCTTCCACTTCTGAGCCTCAGTTTCCTCACTGGTAAAAGAGAAAACCTTTTGCCACACGAAATCAAAGTGTCACAACAGAAGTGCCTGTACCATCCCAGGATATTAGAACTGCCATCATTTCTTAGAGTGGAAAATAGGTTGGCTTGGGGCGCGTGGGTGGCTCAGTCGTTAAGCGTCTGCCTTCGGCTCAGGTCATGATCCCAGGGTCCTGGGATTGAGCCCCGCATCGGGCTCCCTGCTCAGCGGGAAAGCCTGCTCCTCCCTCTCCCACTCCCCCTGCTTGTGTTCCCTCGCTCGCTGTCTCTCTCTGTCAAATAAATAAATAAAATCTTTAAAAAAAAAAAAAAGAAGAAAATAGGTTGGCTTTTCATTTGTTCCACACTTCTTCTTTCAAGCAAGCACCAGGGGTGCTTCTCATCCTTGGACTCTGAGCCTCTGGACTACAGGGACAAGTGTGCCCTCTGGATACCCGTCACCAGGCCCGGATCTGCAGATACACACCTCCGAGGCTCAGCCCCGGCAGCGACCCACAGAGCAGCAGTGTGGCTTTGCCCTGAGGCTTTGGCCCGGCAGTTTAGGCTGCTGGTGCCCCAAGGCCAGGCAAGGCTGCGGGCCCCCAGGGCTGTGTGCCAGAGCCCAGGTGCACTGACTAGCACCCACATGCAGACGGTTCCGAGGTCCGCTCACGTGGACGAGCAGGTGTGCACCCCACGTCCCTTTGCCGAGAGTACAGGCGCGCACACACACAGCCATGTTCTCCCTGGGACCGGGGGAGGAGGACCACGGGGATTCTAGCAGTTCGGGCATACTGGTACTACTTGTAAACACTGGCAAGGGGCAGGGACGCGTGCGAAGGCTCACGAGATACACTTCTCACAGAATGTATTTCAGTCTGTCACAGACACCTTATTTCGCTGTTCTGGAGTAATGTCTGTTCAGTCAGACCAGAAGCTCTGTGAGGATGGTCTTGCTTACTGCTGTCTCCCCCGCTGCCCAGCTCAGGGCCTGGCACATGACTGTGCTCGACCCTGGGCTGACCCAGGGCTGGGTGTCTGGAATCGCCTGGCCTCTCCCTTCCCCGTTCCCAGTGGCGAGGCTGCATCACAGTACTCGTCCTCCTCCTCCTCTCAGGACCCTCCACCACTTGCACTGTGGCCCCCACCCTGGCCCACTCACCCGGAATGACGATATCTCCAAGTCCCAGCATGGCAAAGTTGTCTGCTTCGAGACCCTTCTCCAGTAGGTCCTGGGGAAACACCACTGTGGGGGGAGACAGGGATGCAAGGCATTGGTGAGAGGCGGGTTCAGATGGCCTCCCAGCCCCCTACCTCTGTTGCATGAAACTCACACACCTGCATATAAAGGCGGGGGGGGGGGGGAGCAGGGAGGCACGAGGATGGTGACAGGTTGAAGGGCAAAGTCTCCATCTGGAACCACAGCGGGTTAGAGGGGGAAGAATCTAGGATCATCTAGATCAAAGGTTGCCGGCCTTTACTGAGCTAGGACTCACGCAGCACACCATTTCAGTGCTCTCTGGTAGCTATGGAACCCTCTGGTGAAGTGGGATTGACCCGAAAGCCACATGGATGAAAGAGACCAAAGAGCCCACGCAGTGCTGACATCTAATAGGCTTTCCGTCTCACTACAGCAGGGTGGGGGCAGGTGGTGGCCCTTGCTCTGCAGCAGGGGTGCCTGGGCTGGAGGCCCTTCCTGGATGTGCCGAAGGAAAAAATGCCACACGCCTACAAACTCCGTACTTGAAGCCCCTCACTCAAAAATCATGCTGACCAACTTGTTTAGATAAACACAGATGGAAAGAAATGCCTCCTCTGTGTCTAGTTATGGCAAGAGGTGACCATAACTGGATCTCATCCATAGCGCCTTGTTCTTTTTCTTTTCGATAATTTATTTATTTGAGAGAGCGAGCGAGCGAGAATACAAGCAGGGGGGGAGCGGGGGAGAGGGGCAGAGGCAGAGGGAGAAGCAGGCTCCCTTCCTGCTGAGCAGGAAGCCTGATGCGGGACTCGATCCCAGGACCCTGAGATCATGACCTGAGCTGAAGGCAGACGCTTAACCGACTGAGTCACCCAGGAGCTCCTCCATAGCGCCTTATAAGCAGAAGAGCAGTTAGGTGTGGGCTTTAAAGTGAGACTGCATGGGTCTGAATCTTGGCTCTGCTCTGTGACTTTGTACAGGTTACTTAGCTGCTCTGTGCCTTAGTTTTCTCACCTGTGAATGGGTATAACAGAACTGACCCCACAGAGTTGTGGTGAGAATCAGATGATTTGCACATTGTTAACTGTCACCCCATGCCTTCTTTACTAACCCAGTTCTGACTTTGGGTGGGGCAGCCTTCCCAGGGAATGGATCAAATGGCACAAGGCTGGGACAATCTGGACAACCCTGGTCCCTGAATTCCTGACTTCCCTTCCAGCTAGGGGTGGCCACATGACCCAGCTCTGGCCAATGCTATGTAAGCAGAGGTACACTGGGGGTTCTAGGTGAGCTTATGCCTCCCTAATGAACACACAGATGCCCTTCCCCACCCACTTCTTCCCACCCCGAATGCATAGTCACAGTGATTTACAGTTCTCGGCATTTGATCTTCCCAATCCTAGTACCATTCAATTCTGAGAGGTGGTTATGAAAACCAGGGCCCAGAGAGGTGAATGAAGTCTCTTGCCTAAGGCCACCCAACCAGCTAGTGTCAGATCTGGGATACCAGTCCAAGCAGCCTGACAGGGCTCTGCTATCCTGCCTGAGCTCTACGCCTAGCAGTGGAGGGTGATGGGCCTTCTCCCCACACCAGAACCCAAGTATGATCGTGTCATTGACTTCTTCAGAGCCTTCCAGTGGCTCATTCACTGCCCACTGGGCAGTCCAGGCTTCCTGGCATGATACTCTTGGCTTCCCAAATCTGGCCTCTTTTCTGCTGCTCCCCTAAACTCAGCCACATTCCCTCCCTGATTCTCTGCTACCAGGGCCCTCTGTGCATTTCCCTGCCTCTGCCCTTTACCGAAGCCCTGCTCTCTCTTTCAAAGGCCCACCCTGCCCCTGCTTCCTCGGTAAACACGTGTTCATCCTGCAGGAAAGCTTTCCTGGCACCCTGGCTGGCCCCATCTGTCATGGCGCATGGGGAACAGCTGCTGCTCTAACCGGCCTAGCATCTGTTCTCCTGTTGCAGAGCTGCCTTGCTTTACACCCTTGGTTCCGGGGGGCTGCCAACTCAAATACTCTGTTCCCAGACACTGGGGAGGGCAGCGCCCCAGGCCTGTCCATCGTGATCCTCTGTCTCCCCAGCAGGAGGGCCTGGCTCATGGGCCCACTGGTGACGGTCAGTAAGGCGCTGCCGAGGCGCTCTGCCACGGGCCTGCTACAGAGTGAGATGACAACACTTCTGTGCTGCTTACTGATGCCCACGTGCCGGCCACTGAATTTTCTCTTCTTTACCAACAACGGGTAGCTACATGGAGGAACAAAACCTGAGCCGTGTGAGGTGCGTGGGACAGACCGTGCCAGCTAAAGGCACCCAGTGAGCAGCTTCGGGCCTCAGTGTAGAGTCCCCTTTCCTGGAGAGCCCCCGCGTGTCCCACCGCAGGCTATGTTAGACAACCCCCTCCGTGCCTGCTCCCCTCTGGCTCATCCCGTATCACACTACACTGGGGCCAAGCGGCAGGACACCAGGGCCTGGGCAGAGGCTGACTGCATGTGAACACAGCCAGATGAATCTATCAAGGAGGGGAAGGAAACCAGGCTGGAGGAGGAAGAGATGTGTGGGGAAGAGCCAAGGGAGATGGACCAACCAGAAGTGGGACCACGACGGGGGAAAGGGCCATGAGGTAGAAGCGGAGGGGCTCCCCACGGTGGATGTGGTCACTTACATTTTATTGGTGCCTCAAAGGACTTGGCCACTGTCACCATCACATTGGTGCCAAATACCTAGGAGGAGAAGACAGGAGTCTGGAGGGAGGTGAGGGCCAGGTGGGAAAGGAACACTGTCCTAGGAACTCCTTTTCTTTCCTTTTTTTTTTTTTTTTAAGACTTATTTATTTATTTTAGAGACAGAGAGCATGTGGGGATGGGCAGAGGGAGAGAAAGAGAAAGAAACTCCAGCAGACTCCTCTCTGAGCTTAGAGCCTGATGCAGGGCTCGATCTCAAGGCCCTGAGATTATGACCTGAGCAGAAACTACGAGTCAGACAGTTAACTGACTGAGCCACCCTGGTGCCCTGTCCTAGGGACTCCTGATGCAATGTTGCCTGAGATCCACAGGGACAGGGGCAGGGAGTGAGGAGGTGTTCCAGAGCAGATGTGAAGCTGAGATTAGGTGGCTACTGATACTGGTCATATGGACACCTAATGGGGCTCCTGGTTCTGGGCAATAAACAGGGCAATTTGAAGGAGCTGGAAAAGGGCCTCTGATGGCCCAGGTCAGGTGTCCTGTTTGTTCAGGGCTCTGCCCTTCCTAGGACATAAAGTCCTCTAGCACCACCCACTTAAGGGGGAAAAAGGCTGCCTGAGGCCAGGGAAAGGTGCCTAAGTCAGGCTGACCTTGATCCCTCAGTGATGGCTGTTGGGGGTGAGCATGGCACGTCCCTCAGCCCAGGGCTGGTGTGTGCCAGAGCGTGCTGCCAACAGCAGTCCTCAGATTGGTGCCCTCGCTGGGCCCATTCATCAGCATTAACCACCCCTGCCTGAACTTCTCGGAGTCTCAACTTGCTTGCTGGGAAGACACAGGAAAGGAATAGCTCTGCCGGGACCACCAGGAGGAAGAAGTGAGGTGGCTGGAAGGCCTGGGGCACAGGGTGGGCTCTAAGCCATTTGGGGAATCTGTTCTCTCATTTGTTTCACAGATGAGGGCAAGTGGGCCCAGAGAGGACCTGCTTTGGGGTCTCAACCTCCAGGCCATCAGATGACTGCCACAAGACAGGGACAGAGGAGGCAAGGCCCCCTTAAAAAAAAAAAAAAAAAAAAAGATTATTTATTTGAGAAAGGTAGAGAGAGCACAGAGGGAGAAGCAGACTCCTCGATGAACAGGGAGCCCGATAGAGGGCTGGATCCCAGGACCCCAGGATCACAACCTGAGCCGAAGGCAGATGCTTAACCAACTTAGGCACCCAGGCGCCTGCCAAGGGGCCCTTCGGGTCCCAGCCCGACTCACCCAGAAGACATCGTAGATGAAGAGCCCGCCTAGCAGGATGCAGCCGGTGCTGACGTTGTTTAAATGCAGGAGCTCCACCCCGTTAAGGGAGAAGGCCAGGCCAAAGAGATTGTTGGCAATCCAGTGCTGGGGGAAGGTGGGAGTGAGATGGGCTGTCTGGCCACCCTGCCCCGCGCCCCCTCCCATGCTCCCCTCATCCTGCCCCAGGCCCTGGCTCCTTACCTTCCTCAGCAGGTACCAGACGCCAACGATGCTGCTCAGGCCCAGGCATACCAGGTCCTTGGCGTCAAACTCATAATTGATGATCTCTGGGCAGAGAGGCCGGGTAAGTCCACTCCCCGGGGCGGGGCTGCCCCTCCCACCTGTCAGCCCCTGGACGGAGGAGGGCATGGCTGTGGGCACTGTCAGAGCCTCCCCAGCACCCCCCCTCCCCCGATTTCCTAGAGGAGGGACTGGAGGCCCAGAGAGAACAAAGGCCTGGCACAGGGTCAGTGGGAGGTGGTCCGTGGTGTTGGAAGCACAGACTCTGCATTTGTGGCCAGGTGTAGGGAGGTGACCTTCCCTCTCTAAGCTTCAGTCTCTTCCTCTGTAAAAAGGGGACTGCAGCACCTCCCCGATAGGGCTGCTCTGGGGAGCAAGTGAGATGGTCCTCACAAAGCACTCAGCACAGTGCCTGGCACACAGTGGGTGCTCAATCAATGGCAGCTGCTACTGAGCCCAGGTCTTTAGCCAGCTCCCAGTCCATTCAGGAATCTTCCTACTTTGCCATCAACAGAAACCAGGAAGGTTGCTGGCAGCCCTACATCACCAGCAAAGGAGGGAGAGGAAGAGGAAGAAGGTAAGAGCTGGAGGCCTGGAGAAAAAGCAGGAGGGAGTCCCTGCATGCTCCTGAGGGGGGACCTGTGGTAGACACTCCTCTTAGCCATTCTCCATCACTTCCAAGTTTCCTGGTGAGGAAGCCCAGGAAGGTGGTGGGGCTTGCCCAAGGTTACAGAGCATAGCCATTTCTCTCAGGTTCCAGAGTGGAACAGCCTGCTGGTTGGCCGCAATTTTTGTTCTCTCCTTTGTGGTAACAGCACCCTGGGGAATTGTTTTTTTGGTTTTAATTCAAATTAGTTAACATATAGTATAGTATTGGTTTCAGGAAGCACCTTGGTGATTTTTAAATTGGACATGAAGCCAATCAGCTCATGGCCACATCTTCTGGCTTGCCCTGTAGCTAAACGGGCCCATGATATGGTAACAGTACACCATCCTGGGCCTAAAGGGCCACCCGGGTGGCAGAGCACCAGAGAGATGGAGCCTTGGACCCTAAAGACTCTGTGGTGCAAGCTTAGCCTTTTTTATCTTTTTTAAATTCAACAATCATCTCTTGGGCCCAGACGCACTCGAGATGCAAAAAGGAATGACTTTAAGTCACCATTCTCTAGGAATAAGGCAGAATGTGGCAGGCACCCGTAAGAGAGAGAGTAACATTCACAAGCTCAGGCTTTTATGCAAGAAATACTTTTCATTTGGTCGAGCCACTGCCAACCCTGTTAGAGCACTAGAACTCATATCCGAACAAACTCCCAAAGCCCAGGATTTCCCCAAGGTGACAGAGTTTTCTTTTTTTTTTTTAAAGAACCCCCTTTCTAAGTCTTAGGAGAGTCATCACATTAAAAACAGGTATGAGACAAGGAGCTACGCCAGCCCACATTAGTGAGTGCTACTGCGAGCCAGGCCGTGTGCTGAGTGCGCCCCTCATCGCTGACTCCCAGTCCTAACAACACGCCTATGAGGGAGGTACTAGATGTATCATTTTCATTTTACAGATTAAACAAAATCGAAAACACCCAAGGCTTGGAGAGGTAAAGGCATTCACCCAGAGTCCCCCTTGTAGGCAGTGGCAGAGCGGGGGTGGGAACCCAGGCAATGTGATTCCAGAGCCCACCTTTTCCATCCCTTGCTCTACTGGAGCGCCCCTATATTGGAGACAAAGGGGAACAGAGGTGAGGGATCCCCAAGGCAAGGGAAAGCGGGCAGCACTGACCTTCCTTGTTCTCCCCAGAGCCCTGCGTGAAGAGCAGCTGGTACTGTCGATTTGGGAAGTTGGCTGGAAAAAACTTATTCATGAAGGGGCTGGAAGGAAAGACAAAGCAGGTCGGCACACAGGGCCCCCATGGGCAATCGCAGCCCCAACACCATCCCAGAAGCACCCATTCACAGCTCTTTCCTCCTAGCACCGTCATAGCTGCCCTGATGGGGAGGACTTAGCCCTATTTCCCAGATGGAAACAGAGGCCCCCAGACTAAGTGACTGCCCAGGTTGACTCCCCATCTGAGCTGAGACTCAAACATAGGTCTCTGGAGTCCTACTGCTTCTGCACTGCCTCTTGGTTATTGCCCAAGAAACACAAAGCAGGGCCAGAGTTCCATGTAAAATGCAGTTTAGAACAAGAACTGATGCCAAAGCTGGTCCGTGCACGGTCTCTATGAGAGTCCCTGGTAGAGAACGCATGCGTATTCCTCGACTCTCTTCCAGAACTATCAAGTCAGATGACCTGATGGTTACTGCCTACCCCTAACTCCATGACTTGTCAGGCCTAGGTTTTTTATAAACTCAGCTGGACTCAATCAGCTAGATGAATCACAGCCCCAGGGTGGAGTGGGGAGGAGCACCTCACATTCACTCTTTCCACGAGGCCTCTGTTTCTCAGGATGGGCTCAGCCTCATCTTTGGAAAAATGGTCTCTGATCACCCAGCATACTCTATGCCTTGGCCAGGCAGGGAACAGAAACTTTCTTTTCTGGATCACCTTCAGAAAAAAATGTGCACATCAGGGCCTCCTGGCCCAGCCTGGCCCTTGGGGCAGCTCAGCCCAGAAGACTAAGTGGCCATACCCCAGCTGTGTGGCTCTGGGTGAGTCACTTCAGTGGCTCGTCTCCTCAGCTGTATGTGGGGATAACAATACCACGTGTCTCAAATGGTTGCTGTGAAGATATGCGAGAAGGCAGGAGAGAGGCTTAGCCCAACTCTGGACCCACAACAGGGATGTAAGAACTCTGAGCTTCCTTCAGTGTTGGCACCTGTCCAGAGCCTGACCTCAAAAGCATTTGGCAACACTGGATCAGACGGACAATGACTGATGAGGTGAGCAAATCCAGAATGGTGCTCATCCTGAGCAAACAGAGGCAGGCCAAGGAGTACCCAGGGCATAGCAGTAAAGGCAGGGAAAGGGAGCTCCCTTTCTAAGACCCTGGGGGTTGGAGAAAGAAGATGTGGAGTTAAGAACTATTTCAGGGCCTGTTTCCCCACTTGTCAAACAGCTTCTCTGTCTGCAGGGCTGTGGCACGAATGAGAGAGCTTTGTGAACACAAGTGTGGTGGGCACAAGGATGGAACTGGGAGTGGGCTTCCACAGGAGGGCTTTGAAGAAGTGGGGGGCAGAAGCTGGGACAGATGAGGCTGGAAGCTACTTTCAGCTCAGTCTGCTGAATCACTTTTGGGAGAGCCTGAAGCCAGAGTGTGTGGGCAGAGGCAGAGAAAAGGCCCAAGGAGCTAAGCCCTTCACTGTAGGCTGGCCTCTTCCTCAGGAGCTTGATGCTTAGCTTCTGAACCAGCAGAGCGCAGTGGCTCAGGGCACGGATGCTGGAGCCAGACTTCCTGGATTCAAATCCTGACTCTGCCACTGATTAGCTGTGTGATCTTGGAAAAGTTACTTAACTGTTCTGTGCAACTGTTTCCTCATTTGGAACACTACAACAGTTATCTTTCTCTTAGTTACTAAGAGGATTCAATGAATGCTTGGCAGCCCAGCCTGTAAGCTTAACTGCCGCCTTGACTTCAAGTAAGAAGTCTCCAGACTGATGACTTGGCTATCCCGAGCAAAGAAGGGCTGCTGGATAACAGAGGGCAAGAGTCAAGCAACCTGGCTGGTGAGTCTGAACTTGAGAGTGGGGGTCCTGTCTCATCACCTTCACCCCACCCACGGCAGGCCTGGTGCCTGCGAGGCAGCTGGTAAATGCTTGCTGAACGCCTCTGAATGCAAACTTCTGTAGCAGGCAGAGATTCTTTCCGGCCCTCGATGGCTCACATCAAACCTAAAGGTCACTGCTTCCTGCTGGGAAACCACATCCTGGTGCCCTTCTCCCCTGGGAGTGGAAAGCAAGGGTTGATAAAACTGACTTTTTCTTCCTAGGGTGGCAGATTTTGGCTTTATGGGCCCTTTTCCCTCTAAAGGTCAGCTGGATGGGGTGTGAGCTCAGAGATGATAAAAATAAGCTGAGGTTCCCTTGGCAGGAAGGGTTCTGGCATGGGCTTGTAAGTCTTGGTAGCTGACAAGGTAAAGGCAGGTGGCAGGCTGGGGGATAGGGGCAGGCGTGGAAGGATCCACAAGAATCCCCACCTGGGGCTGACTTGGCTCAGGGCCGGGCTCTTCCAGCCCTAAAGCAGGTCTGTCCCCCCAGTCCTCTGGGGATCGTCGCAGGACTGCTGAGAGGGGGTGGCCAGCCCACTCCCTACAATGTTTCCCCTCCACTCTCGCCAACTGGGAAGAATATGGGCCGGGAAGTGAGACAGACCTGGGCTCAAAAACCCTCTGCCCCTACCAGTTGTGAATCCTAGTGGTCACACAACCACTCAGAGCCTCACCTTCCCTGAATCCCACCTTCAGACCCTCTGGTTTGGATCCTGACAGAGGTCTGACTCTAAGTTTGTGGATATAAACAGTTCATGGAAATTCTGACTACACTGTAGACTTTCTTTGAAAAAGTATTTCAGAAAACTCAGTTTGACTGAAGGAGAAAAATAAATTTAATTTTTGGCTCAGCTTTCTAAATAACATGATTAAATTATGCCTTCCTTTTTGCTAAAATTATGTGCATCTGATTCAGTTCTTTTCCATGTAAATTTTTCAAAGCAATTTCTCTCATCCCTCCATTTTTGGTCCATATAAAATTTTTCACAGGACAGTTCTGACACTGTGTGGTGAGCATCCCTCCGGCCCATGGTCATCAATTGTATTTATGAGGTCTGATTTTCCTAGGTCAAATATTGTGCTCTTATTTTATCAAGAAAATGATTCTTCTGCTAAGTTTTAGTCACCAATATATTTCACCATGTGCAGTTTCAGTTGCTGTTGGTTCTATTTCTGTCAATAATTTTTACCAGTCAAAATTATGAATTAGTTAAAAGACAGACAAAACACACTGGGTTCTCTGAGGTGGTGGTTGGGCCACTGGGAGGCCTAGGAATCTCAAGCCTCTCACAGGTGCAGGGGTGGGATGGATGAGAATTAGGGGGACCCTAATCAGCACAGGGAAGGAGGGTTTCCAGTGCCTAGAGGCAACTACCCCCCAATCCCACCCCACCCCACCCCAGATCCATCAGATAGAGAGCTCTGCCCTTTGAGGCTGGGTCTGCCACCATTTTGCTAGGTCCCAGTCACTCAGGTAGGTTCTCCGCGCCTTCATTTTTTAGGATAGGGGACTGGACTAAAATTCTTGTAAGATGGCCAGAACAAGATTTTATGGGTAAAGGGCAGGTATAGTTGAAGTCAACACTGAACTCAGTCAAAAGACCAGAATTCCAGTGCCAGCTGTGTGACCTTGGACCAGAAGCACAACTCATGGTGCACTTGGCACTGTGCTCTAGCCATGTTATAGCCGTGGTTCACTTGATCCTTCCCATGCCCCAGTGAGGAGGTGCTCATGGTGTCTCCGTTTTCTAGAAACTGATGCTCAGAGGGCTTGAGAAGCTTACACAAATTATAGAGCTGGCCGAGCCAGGCTTGGTCCCAGGGCCAACTGTCTCTTGAACCCACACTCTTGAGTACCACACTGTCCTGCCAGCGTGCCTACAGGAACAAGGCCAAACTCACCCGGCTTTCGATGCCTTTTGTGAGCAGACCCAGCACTTCCTCCCCAGCTTTCTCTCTGACTACTGCAGAAAGATCCCGACTGTGCCTTCACGAGCTCCTAGTTTCCCTCTCTCCTTCGCGCCTCTTCCAGGTTTCCCACCCTTCAAAGCTGACTTTAAGCTGCGTTCCGTCCTTCTGGGAACCTCCCTGGTCTGCTGGCCACCTCATGGTCAGTGGTTCTCAACCTGACACTGTACCACCTCAAGGGGCCAGGTGGAAACACCGGGAACGCTTCTGTAGTCACAAGCTAGGGGGTGGACTAGGGACACAACTCCCATTTAGTAAGCAGGGCTAGGGAATGCCAAACGTTTACAACGCATGGAGAACTGGCCTGTCCATGATGCTAACAGCAGCAGCCCCTGGGGTCCCCGGCCTAGGTCCTTCATCCCCACTGAACAGACACAAGCACGTGGAGGTCTGAGCAGGGCGGCAGTGGGAAGATGGCTCTCGGGCCACTCAGATCCGGGTTTGAATCTTGGCTCTGCTGCTTATCTATTGTGGGATCCTAGCAAATTTCTTAATCTCTTTGAGCTTCAGTTTCCAAAGATAAGAGAGGATTAAAAGCAAAAGCTAACCTCATAAAGTTACCTGGCAGGTTAGCACAGGAAGTAATAGTAACAATGACAGTTAACAGTTACTGGACACATTAAATGCCAGATACTGGGCTAAAAGCTTTCCCATGACCCATAAGGAAGGTTCAATTATTTTCCTCCACATTCAGCTGAGGAAATTGAGGCCGGAGAGATTAAGTAACTTGCCCAAAGTCACAGGGCTATTAAGTAGCAGAGTCTGGATTCAAATTCAGGTAATCAAATTCCAGAGGCTGCACTCCTAAGTTCTCACTATACGGCCTCTCTCTCATTAGGAAATAAGATCATGTGTGAGAAGCTGGGCTTAGCGCCCGGTGCAGGGCAGCCTACGACACCTGGCAAGTGGTGCTGGTATTACCCATCTCAGCGCCGTGACAAGTGACATCACGTTACTGGTCACAAATAACTTTCCCAACAACTGTGGTGGTGGGAAACACCCACTGGATACTCTTATCAGTCCTTGTAAGGAAACTGTGTCCCACAGAGGTTATCGTTCTTACTCTAGGTCATCCACAGTGTACCCCCGGGGAAAGCTGCCCTCGGGTTTTACAGCCAGGATTCAAACCTGGCTCTGAATGACGCCAAAGGTCATGTTCTCATCCGGGACCCTGTACTGGCTCCTGAGAAAGCTGCTTCATATGCTGCGGAGACGCCTTCTGACCTGATGGTGTGGGACAGGGCCAGGATCCCCAACACGAAGAAATACACGGACAGCAAGAGGTTGATGTACTCCTGGGAGAATATCTGAGGCAGAAATAAAAAAGGAAACAGGAAATCAGGGTTGCCAGTGGCTATGAGGAAACCAGAATCCCCGGTTCTCTTCTGGAGGTTGGTCTCACCCCTCTGGAACTTGGGAACGGTGGCAGGAAGAATCTAGACAGTGCTAGGGGCCTTCTAGCTTCTGTGGCTACAGAAAAAAGGGGAGGACCCCCAGGCCCCCAGATGCACACCCAAAGGAGGCTGTATCTTTGTGCCCGGTGGCTCCATCAGCTGGAGACAGGCAGTATTATGTCTGTACTCACAGTGCTGGCATGGAAACATAGGGGAGGACAGTGCTGAGTGCAGCGCCCCGAGGGAGCCCTCTGAACCTCAGAATGCACTCTTCCACGTTTCCTTCTCCCTGCCCCCAAATCTAGGGGGCCCCTATGGTGGCCACCAAGGCCCCAAGCATGCTACTTCTAAGTCGCTTGTGCCTTGTCCCATCGTCTACACGACGCTCTTCTGGAGGACTCTTCCCATGGTGATGGCTGGAAGCTGTGACAGCAGGCCCTGCCTTCTGCTTCTCGGTGTGTCAGGTGAAACTGAGAAATGTTCTCTTTCATGGTACTCCAAAGCCACCTGTCACTGCTGTGAATTCTGGACTCTGGGGAAGGCTCTGCCATCTCCCTCCGCATTTAACCTCTCCTGAGTTTGTTTTCCTGAGGGTCTCCGGCTGGGAGGGGATGATGTGCTGTGGTATGGGGCACAGGGGCACTGGGCACTCTCAAGGAGGCTGTTACAGAATCTGTTTAAACGCCTGTCTGCCCACGTGGCTCCCCTGCTTAACGCCGCGCTTTCACAAGCTCCAGGCCCACACCCTCACCTGGGCCTCAGCCCCTGCAGACCTTCTCAGCTGTGGCTCACAACACGCTGGGGCCACACTGGCCTTTCTGCAGGGCCCTATCTGTACCACGGCCCCGCCACAGACAGGTGGCCTGTACACACGCTCTTCTGCCCGGGACATTCTCCTCTCCTCAGCTAGGCCACCCTTCTTTCTTCAACCCTCAGCTCAGAGCAGCTCTCCTTGATACAACCACCCCTTGTTAATTCAGCTCACAGGTACTGACTGCCTACTACGTGCATGGCATCGTGTGAACCACCGAGGATACAGCAAGGAATAAGGCATAAAAGTCCCTGCCCTCATGGAGTTCATGTGCCAGTGAGGTAGACAGAACCTCAAAGGAAACAGATATGCAATATATTGTCAAGGGGTGATGGATGCTCAGAAGCAAAGCAAAGCAGGGCAAGGAGACAAACAGAAGAGAGGAGAGCTGCTCTTTTAGACAGATGGCCAGTGAAAGCCTCCCAATGGGAAGATACCTCGTTCAGGTATAGAACCTAAACGAAGTAAGGGAGCCACTGTGAAGGTATTCGAGGGGGAGAGCATTGGAGGCAGATGGAAGGGTGAGTGCAAAGGTCCTGAGGTGGGTATGTTGCTTACCTGTGTGGGGAACAGTCAGGGCCTGTGAATCTAGAGCTGAGAGAGTAACGGGATGGTATCAGGAGACGAAGTTGGGAAGGTTAAGAGGCAGGGAGACCCTACAGTGCCATGAGAAAAACTGGATTCCTCTATGTGAGCCAGGTCGGTATTGGAGGCTGAGGGCAGGGCTGTGACGTGACTGGATGGCCCGAGAAGTTCCCTGCGCTGCTGTGTGGAAGACAGACTGCATAGGGTGAGGGGGGAAGCAGACAGCCCCGTGAGGAGGGTAGTGCAGAGTCTGGCAGATAGAGGACGGTGCCTCAGCTGGAAGACAGGAAGAGCAGGGAGGACGGCTCCTGGGGTTTGCGGCCGGCCGGGCAGTGAGGTAGATGGAGGTGCTGCTGTTGGAGGCGGGGGCGGGGCAGTAGAGGTCCATGCTAGCTGGGGGGGCGGGGGGGGAGCTCTTCTGTGCTTTCCTGGTGCTACACGTTACCTCTGCGGCACTTCCCAGGGCTGTAACTTCACATTTATCGATGTGACTGACTGGTGTCCATCTCCACCAATTAACAAGAAACTCCTTGAGGGCAGGGATGGTCAGTCGTTTTTCTCACTCTGGGCCTTGTACACAGCAGGCACTCAGTAAATGTTCGCAGAATGAATGGATGAGCAAAGCAGTGACCTAGAACGTGACTACCGTAAGAAAAAGCCCCATGAACACATTTCATAGGCACGTGGGCCACGTTTTATGAAGATGTGGTATATCCCCTCAGGAGTGTTCCTTCCACGTGGGCCCTTGGGAAAATCTCTCTGGCTACAACTTATAGCCACCAGTTGGCTTGACCGTGTGGCCTATGAACTGTGCACCAAGTCTCAAGTCTGGCTTTCTTTGTGCTTTAGCTGCTAGAAATTCAGAGCCACGCCAGTATTAGACTCACTCTGACAAGAGTACATGTCTTTCAAGTGTAGAGCCTGCGTTCAGGGTATGGTCCTCACCTAAGGCTTCATTTTATCCTATTTTAATTTTCTTTTTACCCAAATTTCTTCCTTTACTTCTTTTACTTATGCTGCTGATTGCTTTGAGGCAGCGTATAATTTTTTTTTTTTTTAAGGTTTTATTTATTTATGTGACAGAGAGAGACACAGCGAGAGAGGAACCACAAGCAGGGGGAGTGGGAGAGGGAGAAGCGGGCTTCCCGCGGAGCTGGGAGCCCGATGTGGGGCTTGATCCCAGGACCCTGGGACCATGACCTGAGCCGAAGGCAGACGCTTAACGACTGAGCCACCCAGGCGCCCCAGAGACAGCATACAATTTTTATTTATACGCTGTCTCAAAGCAGTTTTAAATGAGGTGGGATAAGGTAAATTTTATGATGTTGAGAAATGTCCCACCCGGAGGGGAGAGGAGGAAAGGGGCTGAGGGATACTGCCATTTGGCAAACCAATTAACAAGCCGTCAGCCTGGAGTTTGGGAGGAATCTGTTGGCTATGTTGTCCAGGCAGTCGCTTCTCAAAAATCTCAGTGTGAACCCTCTAGAGACATGGGCAAGAGGTATGCTATGTCCTCTGGTGCAAGGCAGGCTGGGGCCTACCCGCCTGGAGAGGGGGACAGGCTGCGCATCCGTGACTTAAAGAAAAATGCTCATACCCTCCACTGCCAGAAATTTCTTTCTGAGGGAACCCAGCTGAGGGAAAGAATCCTAAGTACTAAAAATGTTAGAAGGTCTTGAGGCAAGGGCCTGGGTATATATCACTGGCACTCAGCACAGCAGAGACCTGAGAAATACCTGCCAAAAGCCAAGTTGGAGGCAATGGGCTAGATGTACAGCCAGCCTGAGAGAGACCTCAAAAGTACAGGGGAGAGAAAAAGCAAACAGAGGGAGATGCACTGCACAGCTCTATTTATGGAAGCTGGACTCTCAATAGACACAGATATACTGACACCATACGTTTTATAAGGAGACACACATCTGAAGACAAAACAAACGCATCAGAGCAGGTGCTTCTTGTGGAGAGGGAAATGAAGGTGGGAAATGGAGGTGGGCACTAGGGGTGAAGGGGGAGCCTGGCAGGGACTGATGATGATGTGCTATGAACCAAAGCATGGAATAAATTCAACTCTTCACCCAAGGTCCAGGGAAAAAAAAATCAGCGAATACCTAATGTTGTTTGATGCACTCTTATTTGTAAGAGTAAAAACTGAGATGACTTTTTCTGTTTAAAGTGAGGGGGATGCTGGAGGTGAGCTGTGGTGAATCTGGCCGGGGGGGGGCATTCTGAAACCATTAAGAAAAAAAAAAGTGTAGTTCTGATCCAACAATGAGGGGGCGGCAGGACAGGAAACGGATGTAAAAATTCCGTTGCTGACTCGCTCACAGACTGGTAAAGATAAGGAATTTTGATGCTACTCAATGCTGGTGAGAGTACGGGGAGCCAGCACACCCGAACTCTCGGGGGAAATGTAAATGCGTGCCATCTTGTGTGGGGATTTGGTACTACCCGTTCAACTTACAAATGCAGATGTGACGGGACTGGGTCCTCCTACTGCAGAAATACTTGAAAATACGTGCCCAGTGTTCACAGCAGCACCACTGCGATGTCCCAGCACTAGACATCCCTCAGGGGTGCAGCCGTAAGACAGAGCCACAGGGAGGTGTTAAGAAGAATAAGGCAGATGTGACTGTGTTGATAATAAAAAGATCCCTACAGTAAAAATCCTGTATCTCATACGTACATTTGTTTTTATATTTTAACAAAAGTGTAGATCTATGCGTAAGATTCACAAGAAACTATACTGGGGAGAAGATTATGGCTCATTTACACCTTCCCGTAGATTGAAAACATTTTTTTCGCCATCTACCTGTGTTTTTAACATGCGAATTAAAAGTCGTCCTTGAGGGCTTTTCAGTGACCAGGGAAAAAGCGCTTGTGAGGCACGACTGCGAAAACAGAAGACACCACACTACAGCTAGGATAGGATGATGATTAGGTGGAAAGCATGCTTATTAAAAGCCTGAAAGGAGACATGCCCAAATGTTAATAGGGATTGTTACCTCTGTGTATTTTTCCCCCACTCTTTTAAGTTTTCTGCATATCTTACTTTCATAATCAGAAAATAGTACGTGTTATATTAAAAAAAAAAAAAAAGAACAGCCTCAGAAGAGTTTGCAGTAACATGAGAGAATGCTTATGATGTTATTCATGGGGAGTGAAAGCGGCAGCTACAAAACTGAGTACGCCACGTGGCCACAGCTACGGAGAAACCATGCACCGGGAAAACAGCGCAAGGACACACCTCCAAAGGGAATCTGTGATTGTCTCTGGTAGTGGGGTTTTGGATGACTGCTGTTTTCCCCTTTTTACTTTTCTGTGTTTTCCACGTTTTCAACACTGAGCCCGTGTAACTTTTATTGGGAAAATAAACCTCGGTAAATTAAAAAAAAAAAAAAAAAGGCAATTAGTATGGTAGAGGAGCATCGGAGACCCAAGCTATACCCCGTCCCAGCATAAATAGTACAATGCAACCAAAATGGTATCATGAAAAAAAAAAAAAAACAAAAAAGCCACGCGGAGAAAAGAAATAATGACTATGGGAAAGAGTCCTGAACGCCATCGGTGTTTATCTCTGTGTAGTCGGTCTAGAGGTGAATTATTAGGACTTTTTTTCCCCCTTGCTCTTTTATTTTCTACAAATGAACATGCATATCTCCTGTGATGGGAAAAACAAAACAAAACAAAATAAAGTTATTTAAACCAAATGACGCAACAGGTGGCAAGGACTTACTTTGAAAAAGAGATAGAGCCCCAAGAGCGTGCAGCTGGCGATGATGGGGAACCGGGCGGCGTCCCGGCTGGTGATAGTCTCGGGCATGTCTGAGGCGTTCTAGAGCAGAAAAGAAAGGTGTCTGTGAGCACGGGGTGCAGTTGTGGCCTCTGCGGCCCCGAGCTCATTCATCTCCCCCTCCACCACTTCCCGACCCCAGGCTTTGGCAATGCGGTTCCCTCTGCCCATGCTGGGGCAAGATGCTCCACCCCACTGTTTTGCCACTGGGGCGATCTGGATCCCGACAGTGCACGTGGGGCATATCTGGGGAGAAGAGCGATGGCAGAGGCGGTTACGGCATGTAATAACGGAGAGAAAACCCTGGAAACTGTGACAATAGAGTAGTCCTAGGCCTCATGAGAACTATTCCCAGTCTCCTTATGGATTAGCTACCAAGTAAACACGATGAATTTGTTATCCAATAGGTATGAGTAGAAATAAACCAACAACAGATAAAACTGACAGCAAATGAAACTGTACGCGGGAAGATGCCAACTGCAAGGAGAAGCAAATCTTGACAAAACTTACACTTAAGAAATCTGACTGGGAAAACTGAATCTGGTAAGAGTAAAAACCACAATTAAATATACAATGGCAGATGCTGTAGTTGGCGACAATGTGCTTTGGGTAAAGACATGACAGAGGATAAATGTTTACACGAAAAAACCTGAATGTAGTCAAAATAATTTCAGTACTTTAAACAAGGAAAAACCTGAGAATGTAGCAACAGCACAACATAGGGATTTTATCAACTTCACAGAATTCCTGCCAGAAATCTTTCTAATGAGAATCCATCAATGGTAGTATAATTCTGGTTTAAATTTGTATTAAAAAACACAGAGTTGAAAGCTTTCAAGTTCATCATGTTCTCCTCATGCCCTCTCTGCTAGCAGAATCCTCAGTCAAGGACCTGGCCAATGTCACTGCCATGAAGCATCCCCAGATTTCCCACTGGGCTAAGCCTACTCTCTCACTGCAATTCCCCCTGCATTTTACAGGTCTGTTCTATTTTATATCCTAGCTACCAGAGCTCCTGGATGAGACTTCTGCTAAAGTCAAAGTGAAGTGCTCTCCACAGGCTCATCACAATGCCTGAGATTCCACCATCACCATGTCCATCCTGTGAATAAGGCACCCGCACCCCTGGGACAGGGGATCATGTTCAGCTGCAGAGTCTCATTAATTTTTTTGGCTCACAGCTGCCTCTTAAAAACCAATAGGACAAAACATGCTAAAGGGGAGGCTGCCTGGACAGGGCAGATTTCGGGTCAGGCAGACCCTCTGCTCAACGATGGAAGGAAAATTGCAGAAAGGGAAGGAGATGGGGGCAGAGAGCAATAAGCCCATGGAATGGTCACGAAATGGAGCTGGGCTGGGGAGCTGGGATGTGCACACACTGTTGGTTTTAGTACAAACTGGTCCAGCCTTTTGGGGAGGGCAATTCAGCAGGTGCATCAAATTGTAATTTGCACATGCCCAAGAACACAGAGAAGGTTCACAGAGCAGGAACCATAAAAAGCTCTTATTTACAGGAAAAAATGTTCATCCTCACTCTTTTTTTTCTTTTCATCCTCACTTTTTAATAAGTTGAAGTACGCTAGATTCCAGTTTTCATCTATCAAAATGGCTGGAGAACAGACTGAGCTGGTGAGGCTATAGGGAAACAGGTGCTGACCCTTGGTACCTTCAGGAGGGTAAACTGGTCTTCCTGCAGAGAGCACTCTGACAATGTCTGTCAAAATCACAAGTGCATTGACCAAGCAATTCCATTTCAGGGAATTTTTCCTACAGATAAAATTCACACATGTGCAAATGATACATGTAGTGTATAATCAAGGTATTCAGTGCTCTATTAATGGCTTGCTGGGTGACTGAGGCAAATCCTTGCCTCTCTCAGTCTCAGTTTACTCATCTGTCAAACAGGATCACAATCTCTAGGCTTTACTTACCTCTAAAAGGGCCAAGAGACTTCAACCAAATGAGAGACGGGATGTGAAATAGCCTGGCAAACGGTAAAGTATCGTGACTGTATGAGGAGCTAGGACTGTCAGGGAGAGGGGAGTGGGGAGGCGCTTCACCAAACCCCAACATATGCCTGACTGAGGTGGCTGGAAGGGACACCCTCCTTTCTGGAGCATCCAGGGGCAGCTCTGCTGGGAGGAAGGGGTGGGGCAGGTGAGCAGTACTGACACAGAGAGGCAGGGTTCTCTCCCTCCTCCCCTCTGCGTACCTCCGCAAACTCAATATATTAACAGCTGTTAATCTCAAAGAGTCCACAGGCACACAGGCCAAGACCCTGACATGTAAGCAGAATATCATGATACAGAGTGACCTGTCACAAAACAAGACATATACTGCTGCGGTACCCAGTGCGAGTGCCAAATGGGTGGGAGATGGCCCTGATGTCAGAAAGCCCAGCCCGACTCCCAGCTCTGCCTCTTCCCAGCTGTGGGGCCCGGGAATGTTATTCTCTCTCTCAGAGCCTCCATCTCCGCAGCTGTACGATGAATTTCAGGATTCTATGACCTTTTTTTTTTTTTTAAGATTTTATTTATTTGAGAGAGAGAGAGTACACATGCACAAATGGGGCGGGGGGGGGGGAGGGAGGGAGGGAGAGACAGAGGGTAAGGGAGAAGCAGACTTACTGCTGGGTGAGAGGCTGACACAGGGCTTGATCCCAAGACCCTGAGGTCATGACTTGAGCTGAAGACAGATGCTTAACCAACTGAGCCTAACCAACTGAGCCACCCAGGCGTCCCAGGATTCTATGACTTTTGCATTGGAAATACTTAGTGTTGTGCCTCGAGCTGTCACACAAGCTGTCTAGACTCTATTATTGTAACAGTAGTAGTACATATTAGGGAATCACAAGAAAGCAAATAGCACTTAGGCAAAGCCTTGAAGGTTAAGCACAGGTCCTGGTAGGGGGTAGGAGCCAGAAACACATTCAGTTGAGGAATTTGCTCTGTGTACAAGGAAGGGAAACATGAGGTAGAGGGACCTGCAGGTGCAGATCACATGGGACTCACCTACAAACCAGTGTTATGGCTCATTTCCACATATTCCTTTTATTTTAGCCCTGTGTCCTGGGTGGGAAGAGGCTTAAAATTACTTGATGACAAGTCAAGGTTGGACACATGTCCCACTATACAGAGGACTCTGGTCTCCTCCGTGGATGACTGTAAATATCCATGCTGCAATGTTGAGTCAGAATGGGAGACTGGAAATCTGACAGTTACAGTAATAAGAACAACATTTACGAAGAGCGTTCTATGTGCCAAGCCCTGTTCTAGGTGCTATACATGACTTCATCCTCTACGAAGCAGCTATTTTTAAGAGCTCAGGGAGGTGAAATAACTTGCTTAAGGTCACACAGCTGGTGAGTGGTGGAGTCAGGATTCAAATGGAGGCAGTCTGGTTCCAGTGCCCCAACTCTTAGCCACTACTTCCTAGATGACCTCTACCTTTCCTACCTGGAAATTTCCGCTGGCAAGTTGTGACAAGATGCTCAGGGAGCCTGTGACAATGAAACAGTTAACCTTTGGGGCACCTGGGTGACTCAGTTGGTTAAGCATCCAACTCTTGATTTCCGCTCAGGTCATGATCTCAAGGTCGTGAGATGGAGCCCCATGTCGGGCTCTGCACTGGGCATGGAGCCTGCTTAAGATTCTCTCTCTCTCTCTCGCTCTGCTCCTCCCTCCACAAAACAAATCCAAAACAGTTAACCCTTGTCATTACAAAAAATACAAAAAGTTGTTAGGATTCTCTACCAATTCAATGTGGATTTTTTTTTTAAAGCATTTTTTTTTTTTTAAAGATTTTATTTATTTATTTGACAGAGAAAGACACAGCGAGAGAGGGAACACAAACGGGGAGTGGGAGAGGGAGAAGCAGACTCCCTGCCGAGCAGGGAGCCCGATGCGGGACTCGATCCCGGGACTCCAGGATCATGACCTGAGCCGAAGGCAGTCGCTTAACCAACTGAGCCACCCAGGCGCCCCAAAGCATTTTTTTTTAAAGATTTTATTTATTCATTTGAGACACAGAGATACAGAGAAAGAGAGAACATGAGCAGGGGGAGAGGCAGAAGGAGAGGAAGAAGCAGGCTCCCTGCTGAGCCAGGAGCCCAATGTGGGGTTCGATCCCAGGACCCTGGGATCATGACCTGAGCAGAAGGCAGATGCTTAACCATCTGAGCCACCCAGGCACCCCTCAATGTGGATTTTCAAACCAGATGCTCTTAGGCAAATGCAATAGCTCCCAAAACACAAAACATAATCAGTGTGTGTGTGTGTGTGTGTGTGTGTATGTGTGTGAAGCTGACACAAATAGCAGAAATAAATTTAGCTTCCAGTGACATTCTGGACGTTCAGTTATCAGGGCGGAAGCAAAAGCAGCAAGGGAAGACAGATGCCTGGCCTCAAGTCATTGGCTCGGCCCGAGCTCTGGGAGGGCTGCTTCCAGGCCATGCCCCAGAAATGATCTGGGACTTGTGGACCATTCTGTTACTCTGTCACCCCAGCTGGAGACCCCAGGGTCTCCTCTTCTTTCCACTACATTCACTCACTCACCTACCTCACCATGACTGTTTCCTAAGCATTTCTAGAACTCACCCTCCCAGTCCAATCCTGTGCCCCACTCCAATCTTCACCGCGACCACCTCACCAGCCTCCTTCCTGTTCTCCCTCCCGCCCATCACTGACTCTGCCAGGAGCTCTTTCTGAAGCCTAGACCTGACTGTATCACACACCTTGCTCAGAAAGCCCTGGAGACTAGACTATTGCGTAGCCATTACACAGGAACTGAGGTCACTGCTGGTGGGTGTATAAACTTATACAACCTCTAGGGTGCATAATTTGGTAAGATCAATCTATATCAAACATGCACATAGCCTTTGACCCAGCAAATCAATTTCAAAAAAACAAACAAAAAAATCCTACACATACAGACAAGTGTGAAGTAACAAACATAAGGAGATTAATTTCAGCATGGTTTGTAAAAGACTGGCACCCATCTAAACAACCTGTGGAGGACTCTAAATCAGAGGTTCTCACATGAGCACAGAGAAAAATCGTCAGGAGGGCTTGTGAAAACAGACTGCCAGGTCCACCTTGAGTTTCTAATTCAGAATCTGCATTTCTTTTTTTTTTTAAGATTTTATTTATTTGACAGAGAGAGACATGGTGGAGAGGGAACACAAGCAGGGGGAGTGGCGGAGGGAGAAGCAGGCCTTCCGCTGAGCAGGGAGCCGATGTGGGGCTCGAACCCAGGACCCTGGGATCATGACCTGAGCCGAAGGCAGACGCCTAATGATGGAGCCACCCAGGCACCTAGAATCTGCATTTTTTTTTTTTTTTTTAAGATTTTATTTATTACTTGACAGAGAGACACAGTGAGAGAGGAAACACAAGCAGGGCAACACAAGCAGGGCGAGTGGGAGAGGGAGAAGCAGGCCTCCCATGGAGCAGGGAGCCCGATGCGGGGCTCGATCCCAGGACCCTGGGATCATGACCTGAGCCGAAGGCAGACGCCTAACGACTGAGCCACCCAGGCGCCCAGAATCTGCATTTCTAACAAGTTCCCAGGTGAGACTATTGCCGCTGCTGCTGGTCCAGCAATCACACTTTGAGAACCAGGGCTCTAAACAAACTGTGGGATACAGGTAGGATACCATGCAGCTGTCACAGAAGAACAAGACTGCTCCATATGTACTGATATATTTGATCTCCAACATATATTTGGTGAAAAAAGCAAGGAGCAAAAAAAGTGTATTTATAACAAAATATCAGTTATACTGCAAAAACGGGGAGAAAGCCTATGCTTATTTATTTGTAAAGGCACAGAATTTCTTGGATGGATATCCAAGAACGGGCTGCCTCTGGGAGGGAAACTGGGTAACTGGGTAGGATGGAGGCTTTCATGATGCCCTCTGCACCTCTGGAATTCTATACCACAGGCATGCATTAATTACCCTCCCCGCCATAAAATAATGAGGCAGATCTGCAGGTACTGACAGGAAAATGACCAAGACACAGAGATTAAAGGAAAAAAAAAATCAAACTGCAGAGCAGCAAAAATCAAACAGTACTGTAAAATCCCACTGTTATAAAAGTAAATTTACATTTGTGTATACACACAGGCAAACACACGTTTATATATACAAAGAAAAAGTTCTGGAAGGTTACACACCAAAGAGCTACCTGGGTTCCTTCGAGAAGTGGTACTGAGGAGGCTTTTCCTTTATACTTCTGCATGGCTTGGATTTTTTTTTTTTTTTTACAGGTGCAAGTATATGGTCATTTTGTAACTATGAAGATGAACTACTGTGTTGCCTTCAGGATTCTGTCATGCAGAAAGGCTGCAGGCTGCCTGAACATCTTGTTATGGCCTCCAAGGCCCTGCCGCGGAGCTCACATCACACTGTCCGCTGCCTCCCTGAGTGCACCCCGCAGTGCCATGCCTCCCTCTCTCCTGTTCTGCCTGAACTTTCGTCCATCCATGCAAAGGCAGCTGCGGCCTCCTCCGGAAGGCTTATCAGGATTCGGTTTAGTTGGCTGCTCACACATCTGTTTCTCCGTGGGGCGCTGAGCTCTGGGAGAGCAGGGCCTGGCCTTCGTTGTCCCAGCACCCCTGGTACCCAGCCCAGGGCCTGGCACAGAGCAGAAGCCCAGTCCAGCTGGCTGAGGGGCTGCTCTGAGTTACAGGCCAAGGGCCTTTGAAGTAATCTGATCCCCAGCTATTGCTTGGGCTGGGATTTGCTCCCTTCTGGGAACACAGGTCTCTGACAGGGATGGGCACCCCTCTAAGAGTGCTCCTCCTATGGCTACTTCTTCCCAACACACTCTTGGATGCCCCACCTTCTTCTCCCCATGATTTCACAATTTGCTCTGCCTGTTACGGACAACTTGGCTCCAGGGAGAATTCTGTCCTCACATGCCCTCTCTCAGCTGGCTTTAAGGTCTAACACTGGTGGGAAATCAGAACTCCTGGGCCCCCACACTAACTTTTCTCTCTCCTTGTCACATGACCAGGGAAACATGACTCGGGGTAGAAAAAGGGAGTTGTTTTTTGCCCAAATGCCACTTGCGTGGGTCTACAGAATCACCTGTATCAAGGACAGCCCTGGACTAGGTCTAGCAACACCTAGTTGTGCCCCTCATTGGCAGAGGGAAAGTAAGTAGTCATTTCTTTGACCCTCAGTTTCTTTCTCTGTACGAAAGGAAAATAAAACTGGTTCCATCTGTAACATTCAGTTACTGGGAGAAGCAAAGACAGTGAAGGCTTTGTAAATTTCAGAATATCCTGGTTATTGGTGGTGGGTCTGGCCATCTGCAATTTCACGCAACCTGGAGGAGATGGTGGGGGTGGTATTTAGAGGCTACGGTGGATTGAAAGCTCTCTTCTATGCATACCCTCTGTTCCTGTCACACCAGACCTTCCGCCAACTCCTAAACTGTCTTTTTTTTTTTTTTTTTAAAGATTCATTTATTTGAGAAAGACAGAAAGTGCACAAGTATGAGCGGGAGGGGGAGAGAGGGAGAGAATCCCAAGCAGACTCCATACTCAGTGCAAAGCTGGATGCAGGGCTCGATCTCACAATCCCAAGATCATGATCTCAGCAGAAACCAAAAGTCAGATGCTTAACCGACTGTGCCATCCAGGCGCCCCTCTCCTAAACAGTCTCGTAGCGCTGCTTACCTGGTTTCCTCTGCCTGGAATGTCTTCTGGCTGAAATTCTACCTCTGCATCGAGGCTCAAGCCCATCTCCAGCACAAAGCCTCTGTGCCCTTCCTCAGGTGTTGAGGTGCCTCAAACTTTCTCCCTAAACCCCACAGCACTGCTGTACTGCAATCACATAGCTAGTTATTCCTCCTCTGTCCAGGCACCTAAAGTCCTTGGTGACAGGGCTCTGACCCACTCATTTTTGCATCCCCCCCCACCCCCCTGGTCAACAGTGGAGGTTCAGGAAATTCTGTTGTTGGTAAAATGCTTCCTTGAGACTAGTGATCCTTGTGTAGAAGACATCAAGGAGAATTACTCAGTTTTAGGAGCCCCTCAGATCAAGCTGCCCAGTTCATGCCATGGTGTTTTTACCTCCTTTGTCCTAGTCTATTTCAGAACCTTCTCCTGCACCAAGTGTTTGCCAAAAAGGGATGGCAGGGAAGTTGAAGGCCACCTGAACTCTGCTTAGAAGAGGCAGAATAGAAAGGCAAATAGGGCCATCTAAGCCCTGCCTATTTCCCTTTGTGTCTGCCCACAGAAGGAGCCAACAGAGTTCTCTATCTTGGGTAAGGAAGATGGCAGACCTCAAGTTGGGTAATGTTTTGAAAACCTGTACTCGAGCAGTTTCAGAAGTGGCAGCTGCTTTGTGGACCTTCCAACTTTGGGTAAGACAGCTTCCGCTTAAGTTCAACTTCAGGTTTGGGTAGGGGAGGAGCTACAGATTAGGAGGGGAGAGGGTGCCAGGAAGTGAGGGGCCACTGGTGCTTCCTGTGTGGGTCTACAGAATCACCTGTATCAAGGACAGCCCTGGACTAGGTCTAGCAACACCTAGTTGTGCCCCTTATTGGCAGAGGGATCGTAAGTAGTCATTTCCCCGCAGGGGCCGGAGAGGACTTAATAGGGAAGAAGATGGAGGGTGGGGGGAGATGATGGGGTCCTCCTAGGTGTCCAATGGGACATATGTTGAGGAAGGTCAGGAATGGGTCTGGCCTGCTCTCAGAGGCCAACAGCAGCTCAGCTGCTCAGCAGGTAAGTCCAATTTCGTGGAGGGCCTGTCTTAGGGAGCACAGGAAGAAAAGCTACTTTGAGGTAAGGTTGGGGTCTGGGGTGGGAACAGGGTGAGGAGTTGGGAACAGGGCCTGGGCTCAGGCTAGGACAGGTGCACGACTGGGAGTGTCTACCAGCCACGGAGGGCAAACCAGCAAAAGAAGGGGTCTATGCTTGGTTAAAAAGAGAGGCACTATGGTGCCAGATTCTGAGGGACTGGCTGAGTGAAACTGGTCTGAGAAGTGAGGCAAAGAACGGGTGCCTGAGGTGGGGCTATATCCTTGGATTAATTTTTTTGAGGTGGCGCAAGGGCCTGATCTGGAGGTTCTAGAAGAGCACACTACGGGTCACAGATTCCAGTTAGATAGGTGTCACAGTTTCAGGATGGGTCTGGATGCTAGAATTTGCCCTAGGGTGGATGAGGCAGGGTTCCCAACGGAGGAATGACAGGGGACTGTACCATTCAGTTGTCAGGACCAGCGCCCCATCAGGTACAGAGGGGGTTGACCCGGAGCCCAGGAAGAGGTGTCCCATATGGGATGAGCAGCCAGAGCAGAGGGTGGGGCCGGTGTGGCTGGGTCCAGCAGGCTCAGAACAATACACCGCCCGAATCGCAATGTGAACCTGACAGTGTTTGCAGCATGATGCACAGAGAGAAAAATGTGTCAGGGTCCGAGCGGGGAGAGAAGCCGGCCCCTATAAGAGAAGGTGTCAGATCCCAGAGCACCTAAGGCCAGCTCCCGGATGTGGGCTCGGGGTGGGGAAGCGGTGGTGATCCATGCCGGGAAGGGTCAGCGTCTGGGGAGAGGAGGTGTCTGCGCGGGCGGGAGGAGGGTCCTCGTCAGTCACGTCACGGGTGGGAGGTGGGAAGCGCGCGCGGTTTGGCCTCCGACCCTACCTTGCCGCGGGCGCAGCGCACGGAGCGCAGGGCGCCGAAGAAGATGGGCAGCAGCGCCATGAGCAGGAGGCTGCCGTAGGCCAGCGCGATGCCCTCGGGCGTGGAAGGCGGCCGCGTCGTGCCGTTGGCTGCGCCGCCTGCCTCGGCGCTGCCGTTGTGCGGGTCGCTGAGGGCCGAGTCCATGGCGACTCTGCGCTCCGGGTCCGACTCCAGCTCCAGCCGCCGCAGCAGAGACGCAAGACGGGAAGACGGGCGCTGCGGGGAAAGCCACGTTCCCTTAAAGAAACAGGAAGTGACGTGCTGCCCGCGCCGGCCCGCGCCGCGCACGCGTGCGCGTTCACGTCTCCCCGCCCGCGCGCCCTCTAATGGTAGCGGAGGGCCGGGCGACCAGTTGCTAGGCAACTCGTGATTGGTCGGGGAAGGAACACTGAACCGCTGTGCTGGGCATCCATCCCGGGGGAGACCTGAGGATCCCATGCGCCGGTCCCAGCCGACTTCCTCAATCCCAGGCTGTTCCGCTCCCCACAAGTCCTCATCATGATAACTAAGAATTTGTTCATTCATGCATGATTCATCCAATATTTAACTGTTCCTTCACCCCTTAAATATTTGAGTACCCCGTTATATGCCAGACGCTGCCCTAGGCTCTGGGGACACATACAGGCAAAAGTCCGTCCCTATACTCGTGAAGCTTGCATTTTTAATGCGGTGGTAGGGGAAGGTGTTGGGAAGACAATGAAGTGAAGAAAGTAAAATATGAAGTCTAGGATATTCATGTGTACTTATGTATTCTGTAGTATGTTAATGGACATAAATAATTCAGAGACCTCCCTCTCTAGGAATCTAGTTCACTTCTGCATTTGGCTTGGGCCAGGGTGGTTCCCATCAGTTCCAGAGGACAAAAATCAGGCGGTTGGCTCTGCAGATGGACAGTCCTGTGGAGCTTCCAGTGTATGTGTGTCTAGGGCTGAGGAGAAGGCGTGGGTAGGAGTAACCTGAACTTGGGCGCAGACCCATGCTGTCCGGGGCTCCTGGCTATGCAACTGCTGCCCTAGTTAAAAGCTGGGGAAAGTATGTGGCAGGCAAACTGAGAAATTTGCACCATGCAGACACCTAGCACTGGAGAAACTTTGGGCCAAGTAGTGGAGACAAAAGCATGCTCTCCAGGAACCCAGGAAGTAAGCCAACCTGAAGCCAGGAAAGGAAGATCCATTCCCCTCCAATGTCCCTTTAGTACACTGTAGTGAAAAAGCTTAACTGTGTCATCCGGAAAAGGAGAAATACTTAGAAGGCCCAACTCCGTTAGTACAGAGCAGGCAAAAAGACTGGATTTAGAGCTGAGAAGCAATAAATTGATGAATGACACAGAAGGTATAAAATCACATAGCCTGGTCCAAGCTTGACAGGTGGTGAGGTGGGGTTGGAGCATGGGGTTCATGGTGAGGGCAGACAAAGGTAAGGACTCAGACGACAAGAGTTTTTTTGTTTTGTTTTGTTTTGTTTGTATTTGTTTTTAGAGGGCGGGGACAGAGGGAGAGGGAGAGCGAGAATCTTAAGCAGGCTCCACACCCAGCAAGGAGCCCTAGGCGGGCCTCTATGCAGCACTCGATCTCACAACCCTGAGATCATGACCTGAGCTGAAATCAAGAGTCGAGTCGCTTAACCCAGACTATAAGAGTTTGAATAATAGGGTTGTTTTGGGGCACCTGGGTGGCTCAGTCAGTTAAGTGTCTGACTCTTGATCTCAGCTCAGGTCCCAATCTCAGGATTGTGAGTTCAAGCCCTGAATTGAGCTCCATGGTGGGCGTTGAGCCTACATAAAAAAAAAAAAAAAAAAAAAAGTTGTTTGCCTAGTATATGCCAGGCACTGAACTAGTAACATGTGTGTGTAGGTGTGTGTGTGTGTGTGTGTTTTATCTCCATAACACTAGTAAGAGATGATTGGTCCCATTTTACAGATGAGGAAACTGAGCCTCACAGAGGTACGCTAAACTAGCCAGCCCAGGTGACACAGGCAGAAGTGGAACAGGAGACTCTTGAACTCAGGTCTGTGGGACTCCAAAGCCTTTGCTCTTTGCAACATTCCAGCTACACAGGAGGCTAAGGAGTCTGGACCAGAATAACTTAGTTCTGGGCAGATGGTGTCCAGTTTCAGGCTGTGTTTTTCAATAAGCCGGACATGACCTGAATGGCTGGATGAAGGCAGTGTGCCTGATGAATTCATCCATCAATAATTCAGGCCACAGGATTTGCCCAGCAACCAGGCCTCACGCCTCTATGCTTCCTCATCTGAGAGTACATGATTGGAAATTGGAGACACTGCTGCTTCCCCCTAGGCTGAGCATTTGATTTAGTTTGTTCTAGGGGAGATCTGGCCATCTCTCTTTACACTCCAGACTGGGAGATTGTGAATATGACCCAGGGAACTAAGGGGGTGACCCACGTTCAGAAAGATCCTGTCAAGGCTTCTGGAGGGTTGGATTTCTGGCTTGGAGCAGACCTGTCTTGATATTACCTGAAAACAGGGATGAGACAGTCTGCAGGTGGGTGCCCTGAGGCTTTATCTGCTGAAGCCTCCTACATGGGGTTACTTTCCCAGAGGATATTTGAACTGGAGGTCAAGAACAGAGCTTGTTTAGAGCCTGGGATAGTTAAATTACCAAATATTTGTTCCAGAGAAGGATGCGGCCCCATTCTCCTGTTCACTTGTTCCTGTATCCAGTCCCTATGAATGAATTTCAGATTTTCCAACTTTTTTCTCATATATGCTCACACACACACTCACCCACACTTACACATACTATTAAATGTTTAATTACTTCCAAAAATAAAAAGCAAAGATTATGAATGGATGCTGAAACTGTTGTAAGGTTGAGGGACAGGATATCCATACAGTCTTAGAGCATCACCCTACAGATTACCTACTAATTACAAAAGGAGGAAGTTTCCTTTACAATGGAGTGGCCAAATGGGATGGGATGACATAAAATGACAGGCTGTGCTGTGATGTGCCGGACACATCACCTGTGCAGTCTTCTTGCAAAACATGTTTGACCCACATCTACTCAGGAAGGAACATCAGAAAAAGTCAGAAAAAATACAGACCATAGAATATTCTACAAGACAACTAGCCTGGCCTCTTTAAAAATGTCAGCGCCGTGAAAAAAAAACAACAACAAAAAACCTCCATGGGGATTGTTACGGATGAAAGGAGACAAGTGTAAAGTACCATCTGTGATTGGATTCTGGGTCACAACCTTTTTAAATAGGCTGTAAAGAAAATTTTCAGATGAATGGAGAAACTTGAATATGGATTGTTTGGGCACGATTGTATTGTGACTGTATGACCTTGCTAATCAAGGTGTGGGTAGCCCCATCAGCATCACCTGGGAGCCTGTAAGCAACGCAGAATCTCCGCTCCACCCCGGACCTACTGGATCTCCAGCTGATCCACATGCACACTTAGTCTGAGACATGCTGATGTAGGAGAAGCTCCTTATTCGAGGGTGGTACATGTCTGTCTCAGGGCCCAGGTAGCCCCATGTTCTTGATCATTGTGAGAAAATGGGCAGGCAAGCAGTAAAACTGTATAAATGTTTACTGTTCTTGGGCGCCTGGGTGGCTCAGTTGGTTAAGCGACTGCCTTCGGCTCAGGTCATGATCCTGGAGTCCCGGGATGGAGTCCCGGGATCGAGTCCCGCGTCGGGCTCCCTGCTCAGCATGGAGTCTGCTTCTCCCTCTGACCCTCCCCCCTCTCATGTGCTCTCTCTCAAATAAATAAATAAAATCTTTAAAAAAAAATTTAAAAAAATGTTTACTGTTCTTATTCTCTGCCAAGGCCACAGGGCCCTCACATATATGTGCTCAACAAGTGTTTGTATATGAATGCATGAGTATATTGTTCTCTCCATGTAACCTTCACTTTCTCACCCCACAATCCCTCAGAGCTTGAGTCGAATGTCAGCTCCGTGTCGGGTTCCAACGTCGGGGAACCCCAAGGAACCCCTATATTTCTAGCAGGGTGGAGCGGGCATGAGTGCCCCAGGGATTTTACTAAGATCAAAGAAACAGGGAGAAACACTTTTGGTGCCTCCACACCGCCTTGCCTTAGGGCTGGAATCCTCTTTTGGGAAAATCTTTTTGGAGGCCTAAACTGCTCATGTGAATTATTTTCAGCTCCACCATCCTAGAGAAATTCTCACACAGGTCTATGAGGGGACATATCCAAGGATTTCCAGCAGCGTTTGTTATTTTTCTTGGTAGCAGGAAGTGAGAGCAAACCTAGGTGTGTGTCGCTGGGAAAAGGACTGACAAGATGTTCTGGTTGTATACTCTGGGATGCTGGGCAGCTGCAATGAAGCAACCATCTCTGAGCGCGCTCAGCTGGGGTGATGCTGCCTCCTGGTTTGGGGAGGACAGTTAGGCTATATGCCCTTTGCCCTGGCCTGATTATTAATAGAAACGCTTGCACTCTCAAAAGGGTACCAGTTGGCATGATAATGTTTGGTCACTTTCACGGATCAAGTAGAAGCAGAGCCTGAGATGAGGATTCTTGTTTAAGTGATTCTGAGGGGAGTGTTCTTGGGAGGAAGAGGGTATGAGGGAATGCAGGCGATAAAAGGCTAAGTGAGGAGCAGGTCTTGGCCAGAGACTCCTTTCACTGTGACCCCAAGGAGAGCTCTGGGGCACAGACCACACCACAGAACTGTTCCTACTTTGAGACCAGGCCTCCTGTACCCTGTACAGGTCAGTCACTGGCCACAGCGTAGGAGTCCAGGGCTGAGGTACCCTGGCTAGTTGGCTCCTGTGTGACCAAGGGCAATTCTCCAGAGAAGGCAGCCATTGTGGGCGGCTTTCAGTCAACACTCCTAACAGCTGGGGGTTGGGCCACTGTCTAGTAAAGCGGATGTGGGTGGGGCACCAAATGCCTTCCTTATAATCCCCCTAACCTTCAACAACATGTATAGAACTTTAAAATGTGGAACTGAGCATTAAGAAATGTGTGGTATGATTGCATAAAAGTACGTATCGCATAGGAACATTGAAAATCTAACAAGAATATTTACATATTAAAGAATATACATCAAGCCTATTAGAATGGTTCCCTATAGAGGGATGGGAATGAGAGTGGGAACTGGGGATTAAAACAACAACAGGGGCACCTGGCTGGCTCAGTCGGTAGAGTACACGACTCTTGATTTCGGGGGCATGAGTTCGAGCCCCACGTGGGGTGCGGAGATTACTAAAAATAAATAAACTTTAAACAACAGCAACAAATATACATAAGTAAAACAGGGGTTT